CCGCAAATGCGTCAGCCATCGACCGACTACTACGGTTACTATTACCAAACTCGTTCTGACTAAACAAGATAAGTCTTTAACATTTCATTTTATCATTTTATTTGATCCGTACCACATATCTCTTTCACTGTGCGGATCTCAGAACTTCCAGAATTCTAGTCGTCTCCTCGCCTTGTTTGAGAATTTCATCTTCTTCACGAACATGACCACACCTCATTGCAAGCTCGTAGATAGCCAGGCTGCGGCGTTCCGTAGGTTCCTTTTGGATACTACAGAATGTTGGAGGAGGGTGGCGGACCGACCCCGCGTCGAGCATCACTAACCATTTCTCCCTCTCCCTAGTCGTCTTCAAAACTTACAAATTATAGTGATACCGAAGCTCATCGAAAGTCGGTACAATAGGTAGTTTATATGACCACGTTAACGCCTCATGATATATTTTTTAACAGACTCAATTATCGTTAGGACTGGATGATATCGAAGCACTTAGCTGAACGATGCGCATCGGCATTCAGGTGCTAAGAATTGATAACTGTCGCTTCCAAAAACCAATCACAGACTGATCAAAGGAGTAAAAGATCACGTATTCCAAGTTGCTCATCCTTCACGAACATGGAGCGATTAGCAGAACTTTCAACCTCAGCCGAGAGTTGAACGCGCATTAATCCCATACCGGGGTGGGTTCAATTCTCGCCTGGGTTTGTAAGTTATTTATACGTATGACTAAACATTCTTAGATGCATAATTACAACATAATAACACTGTTAGCCCTTAGAAGAGCATTTGGTACGTTTCGTACCACGCCGCGCGAAGTCAAACCCCACTCAGCTACTGTAATGGCGACGCCGCGTCTCGTGGGAAGACAGGAGAACAACGAGGAATGCGTACACACACATGCAGATGCTGCCTACGTACGACTGCCGCGCAAGCGACGGCGTGACATAGACTGCCTATCAACGGTGGTCCTCAAAAGGTTATAAAGCAGCACAATAAAGATTTCTTTCCGATAGCTTATCCTTTGTCAATAACGTTTACATTGCTCTGTTTTGAACAATACTAACAGATACACATCTTAGGACAAAACAATTGGTCTGCAAAACTCTCGACCTCAGGCAGGAGTCGAACCACGCGTTTCACCACCCATAACTCAGGTGAGTGCTATCACCATACTACTGAGGTCATCGCTTTGTTACCACTCTTTGCTCGATATAAACTATCGAAGCTGTCAGCAAACAACCTTTCATCTATCAAAGAGTGATAGCAAAGCGCTGGTCTCGCTGGTGTAATGTTAACACGCGCTCCCGGTATGAGTGGAATGCGGGATCAGCACCCTCCTGGGGTCGAACGTTCTTTACATTCCACTCAACATTCTTGTATGTATATTTATAACAATACAGCATTACTGGAAGCACTAAAAACAAAGAACTTTCATGGATGACAAAGTTCTTTGGTGGTTTCCGATGAATTGCTACTTATACCACTTCAAGTGTTCCTACTTTTAAAGCTCACACATGCGTACTTCATTTTGATCCATGCTATGGAGCTCATCAGCACAACCATAGATTGATGGATCTGACCTGGTGAATCAAGTCCGGATCGTCTTCATCGCGATCAGGAAATTGTATTATCGTATTCGTCTCCGACATTATATTTGCGCAACTTTCCGTCGTATTCTGGAGGTTTTTAAAACTGAAACAATAGCTGGAGAATTTGGTATCGATAATCTTACTACGGTAATAGTTATCTTACCCTCTGATGAACATTTCCTCGCAATCGCTATAGCGTGACCTCCATTGTAAGGGTGACGTGCAGTATATCAACAATTTCCTGGAAATGTATTGCCAATACGTGAAAAGTATCTCCACGGTACCAATACCCTACTTCTGGGCTGAATTTGTATACTATTTCAGGATTTAACAAGTTCGGTACCACATTACCTTCATCATGGCGTGCCCGGTGGCCCACTGGTGGGACACTTTCCTCTGACAGTTGATGGCTAAAGGATAAAGCTCTCGGCGTTGATCAATCCTTCATGGATGAGCCATGTGTTCGTCTTTGATTTTCAGCTTCGTTCAAGGTAAGTGAATGCATATCTGGCCTTTATAATGACTCGCGGTGGTCATTTGCCGATATATCAGGTGAGTGCTGCTATCCTCTCAGACAAATCTGGTACCAGTTGACCGACCACGGAGAAACGGAAGACTTGGCGAGCTTTGAGCGTGGGATCGACCATCGATCATCGACTGATCGGTCGTGTGTTTAAGAGTAGCTCTGATTATCCTGGCGCACTTCCTCATAAGAAAAGCCCAATCATTAGTATTGTTGGTAATTGAGTAATGTCAATATCCCCTCCAAACTCATTTATCACATAGGGAGTTGGATTTGTGTTGGAGTACGTACCCTAGAAATTACCCCGTACACGGCACAAACATCGATGACCCACATATAGGTGAGTCGGTACCGAACACGTTTTAAAGACCTTAAGGTGAGCGCGAAGCCACTAAAGTGAGAACTAAGGAAAGAGAGCATCTCGGTGCCAACCTGGTGTAGGCTATCTGGCTTCCTGCTGCAATCACGATAGTGCTCAATATCGGCTCGACGTTTCAACTCATGCGAAAGACGCTGACGTCGACTATCGTCAACGCTCACCTAAACGGCATGTGAAGTTAATGAGTAACTCAAGACTTGCTATGATCTACACAAAGTGTGAAAAACGGGACAGTCTCGTTGACGTATTGGGAACGGTGCGCACATATTTCTTACATTTTCAGAGATCTTTTCTGCTGAACATAGATTCTTCATAGAACTTCTAGTACTATTCGAAAAAAAGCAGATATATACCCATTGATGTAGAGTAATGTGCAAAACTTTAGTCTTTTTTTGGCAGAAACACGCAAATGGGCGTCAGTAGTGTAACGGATAGAGAACTTATTCCCGGAAAGAATGAGGTGCGGGTTCAAGTCCCGCCTGACGCGAAAGTTTTGCACATCACTCTACATCAATGGGTATACATTTGTGTAACATCATACCACCGCTAGAGCGGTTTAAACGATTAGAATTTCATTTGATCTCTAAAAAACAAATCCGATACTTGGCTTCTGGAAAGGTCTTCTTAGCGCTGTGAAAGCCGCAGGAAACAGTACGTTCCACCGTCGGCTGGCGCCTGAGTTTAGGTCTTAGCTGTACTTTTAGTGGTCGTCCGATACCTTAGATCTCGATGATTTTGATACTTAGTCACCAAGAAGACCTCTGAACAGCGCTATAAGAGCGAAAGGAAATCTATGTTCCACGCGCAGAGTAGAGTAGATAGCCCGTCCTCCAAACTTTGCAGAGAGTTTCTAGAGGCCTTTTTCTCTGGACTCAGATTTTTCACTGGACTTCAAGTAATCATTTGATAGTTTGAAAATCAGCGATTCTGAAATTGAGTCTGCTTAATAGAAAAACCTGCTCAATGCGCTGTAGCAACGAATTAGAAGAATACATTTCGCATTCGAAGTTTTCTTCGCACATAAAGACTAAATATGCACATAAAGCACATGAGCGTGTAGAGTGAATCGTTGACTACGGAGATAGCAAGGGAAACCTAAGAATTTCCAGAGAAATAGAGAAGAAAATCCTCATAAATGACGGAAATCGAGACCACATCGACTTCAACTGCCGTCCCGAAAGGGTTAAACTGCAGCTGAAAATCTTTTTGCCTGATAAGAGAAATGTTTAAAATGCTACTTACCATAGCGGACTGTTGACTTGTATGGAAAAAACTGCTCAGTCGGATTAAGTATTTCAAGTAGGGAAGGTTTGAGTGCGTGATCGATTGACGGGAAGTTATTCTCGATCAATGAGGCAATCGATAACGTGACCAGCATATCGATCGACTGTAGATGGGGTGGAAGAGCAGGAGCAGCTGTTGATGAAGACTGAGCCACAGCTTCACGTGACGGGTGTCGTCGTGCCTAAAGAACGAAGCAATAGTTCTCTTTGTACGTAGATCAAACAGACGTCATTTGAGGCTGAAATCAGGGTACCATGTGGTCTTCTCCTATGTAAATGTGATTAATAGGACGTAGATCAATCAGAGATGAGAAGAGCGTAGAAGAATGAGAAAGGGATGAACCAACAACTATTGTCGTCTGCTGACCACCACCATCGACTTCCCGCACGGCTCCTTCACTCATGCTGAAATACTCGAATCACCACCACTAACAACATACCTTTTTTTCGCCATGTTATCGATGATAAGGCGATATGAATATCACCCGATTATCACTTGAATCGTCCGAAAACAAACAAATTATTCTCACATTCATTGAAGCCATAGCTCAGTCGGTCGGTCGGTCGATTGGTCAGTCGGTGATCGAGAAGTGGGTCAATCTCCTAGGCTGATTGCAAATTCAGAATATTCAAAAACGATTATAAGCGATGAAATAAATCGATACAAAAGACCAACAATCAAGCAGGCCAAGGAAAAAAGGAAGATTCTCGACAAAAAGTCATGAGATCAAACGCTGGCCAAAGTACGACCGCGCAACGGGCAATGCGAGGAGGGAGGGATCTTCTGGGAATTACGAAATCTACTCCCTCGAAAGATCGATAGGATCGGTGGGGACCATCGAAATTGAGGGGTTCTCGGGTCTCACAGGAAGGAGATAGGACATTCACAATGTATTCACTGAGTATGTTTTGTATCCTTTACATACCATATTTTTATTTATTCTCATTATTTATATTTCCTATATTACTACATCTTTTATACAATTTTTAACTTATTTATAACTTAATTTTTCGAAATTATAGTAATTCTACTGCTTTTTTTTCGCAGTGTTATGATGTTACTTATATAACTAAGAGAATTGAGTGGGTGGGCAAAAACAGGACCTCAATAGGGAATCGAACCCGCGTTTCATCCTATTCGGGGACACGTGCTCTACCACAACACCAGCGAGGCACATTTGCTCGAGCACTCATTCTTTAACATCTCTATGTTAGCTATCAGCCCATTTGCCTCGGTGGTGTAATAGTAGAGCACGCGTCCCCGGATAGGATGAAACGCGGGTTCGATTTCCCCTTGAGGCCGTGTTTTTGCCCACCACTCAATTCTCTTAGTTATATAAGTAACAATTCTTTTTATTGAGTAAAAAAGACGGCCATCGATCCGTAAGTAATTGACAGACCAACGGACGCCTACTGTTTCTCCAAAGTGGGACCCCTGTCTATAGCAACTTTCAGGGAGTTGTAAAAGGAATTTTTATGAAAAAACCGGGACCCGAATAGGCCCAGGATTCTCCCACTTTTCAGAAGGATTTCTGAAAACTGATGAAAATCGAATGTCGGCGACAGATCGTGGAAAGCCAATGGAGGAATTTTCTGGGTGTTACGAAATCAAACACTCCATGAAAGATCGATTGGATCGGTGGGGATCGACGAAAACGAGGACTCTTTAGGTCCCACAGGCAGGAGATAAGACATTCATAATGTATTTATATATATTAGATAGAAGAAGACGGACCATCGATCCGGAAATAATTGACAAAGCAACGGTCGCCTAATGTTTTTCCCAATGTAAGGCACGGACCCCTTGTCTATAGCAATCTTCGGTGGGTTGGTAAAATCAGTTTCTTCTGAAAAAAATAAGACAGAATAGACGAAGATTTTCCATTTTTCCAGTGGAATGTTCCAAGAAGCCAGGAAATGCGATGCTAGGGAAAGACGGATCGCGTAAGGGCCGACGTGAAATAAGGGGATCTCTGCGTGTTACGAAATCAAATCCTATAAGAGATGGATTGGATCAGTGGGGGGACCATCGAAAATGGTGAGTCACAGCTCTCATAGGATGGGGATGAGACATTTCCAATGTGTTTACTTTATTAAATAAAAGAAACGCATATCGATCCATCTCCCAGAGCAGAAAGCCCTCAACCCCCCCACCCCCCCCTCCTCCTCCTCCCTTCTAGAAATTTGTTAGGACGTCGAAAAGGAAAAGGGAGAAGGGCACCTGTCTACAGCGATCTCCGAGGAGTTGTAAAACCAATTGCTATGAAAAACCGGGACCGAATAGACCAGAAATTTTCCCCTTTTTACGGGAAATCTCCAAAAACCTGTGAAACCCGATGTTAGCGGAAGACTGACCATGTAGAGGACGACGGGAAACGGAGGGATCCTCTGGGTGTTACGAAATCAAATCCATAAGAGATGGATTGGACCCGGGAAAGGGGGGGGGGACCGCCGGAAATGGTGAGTCTTCAGCTCTTTTAGGAAGGGAATGAGACATTTCCAATATATTTACTTTATTAAATGAAAGAATCGGACATCGATCCACAAATATTTGACAAAGCAACAGACGTCCAATGTTTCCCAGTACAGAAAGTCCCCCTCCCCCTTTCTAGAAATTTGCCAGGACGTGGAAAAGGAAAAGGGAGAAGGGCACCTGTCTACAGCGATCTCCGAGGAGTTGTAAAACCAATTGCTATGAAAAACCAGGACCGAATAGACCGGAAATTTTCCACTTTTTCCTGGAAAATTTCCGAAATCTGTGAAATTCGATGTTAGCGAAAGACCACGGGAAAAGGAGGGACCTTCGGGAGGTTATGGAATCGAATGCCAAGACAGACTGATGACCTCAAGGAAACAGAAAAGGCCCATCTGGAAGAATCGACAGGAAACGAGAGATTTTCGATTTTTACGCGCGTCAAAGGAAACGGTCATCGAACGGTCCGCAATTTGTCGACAGCGCATTGTCACACAACAGACGCCTAATGTTCCTGATACACGTAGGAGGCGGGAGAGCTGTGCGTTCCGTGTGCGCGCGTTGTTTTCGAGCGTCGCGTAGAGCAACGTCGCTGCCCTTTGGGGACGGCGTGTGTGGTTTGGACACGCGCGCGACGCTTTGTCTGCTTTGCGATGATTTTTTCAAGCTCATTGGACGTTTTTTGAGCACTATGCTAAATTTATAATCTAAAGTTCAACGTAAAGATCTCAGAAAATTGATTGCTTGCGCTCAAAGTAGTCACTACTTACTAAATTAATATCATTTCTCAAGAGGTGACCAACGACGCGATGGTCCGTTGGTGTCAGAGCTGACGAGTCGCTATACAATTAATTCAGTCTTAGAACCTCGAAAATCATTCGACTTGTAAGCACATTAATCTTCTGGAAACCCGTGCTAATAAATTTTAATTCATTCAAATCATAAACTAGACGATCAAGAGATGCTGTTGGAGTAGAGGATCGCAATAAATATCTTCTTCATTAATTTGCTCATATCTACTACAAACTGTGAAGTCTTGAATTGCATATTATCTAAGTAGTGCGAGTGAATGCTAACAACCTCACCGATTAGGGTAAACCCGTTGGGTACGAGTGGGACAGGCGGCCAGCCCGGCGGCCGCGCGCGGTGGGCAGGTTCATAGTAACGGACAGTCAGTGATGCCGACCATCGCGAAGAAGGTTGCTGGTTCGATCTTTTCCCACGCCACTTCAACGTGGACCTATAGGCATTACTCAGTTCATTTGAAGGTTTCTTTATAGAAGCAGTTGTTATAGCAAAAAAAGCACAGTTGTCTTATAAATCACTGTTTTTGGATCCACATTTTCTTGAAGTTTCTTATGACGGTGTAGCCAGAGTCGAATTCGATAACACAATTTCTACAGTGTGCGACTTTTCAGAGAAAACTCATAAAGAAGTGGATGCAATAAGTTCGTGGAGCCCGCGTGTTGGTTCTGTTGGTACCCAAAAGAATTACGTTTCATATCAAAAACTAGTGAGGTGTAAGGCAACCAAGCGTTTTATCCTCTCAGAGTAATTAGGTCTCTAGAAGACCCTACAATACTAGTAGAAAGCATTCAATTACATCAGATCAGGAGAACCAACTGTGGATCGTCGCGAAGGGAAATCGAACCAGCATTTTTCCCAATGCTTCGCATTACCAATCACTCGGCATTGCCGATTGCTGACATCGTTTAGAGCAGCTGGGTTTAGTGGCATGTTCCAATCCTACTCAATGCGTTCAAAGATGCCTGAGAAAAAGCCAACGGAAGGACTTCGATGGTGTCGTAGGTAATGTGAGCCCACAGAAACGAAATAAAGAGTTCGACATCACTATAGGTCACGAGTTTTGCTCTCGTACTCAGCATGTTTCAAACAGTATCCCGCCGTCAAGGGACTAGGCTAAGCAGCAAGTGAAAAGTTAAACTTGTGAATTATGCCGTGTTCGAAGACCTAGAGAAATCTTGTTTTGTGAGTAATTTGTCATAGTCTGGAAATCCAATGGCTTAGTATTATTCCAATAATTAGTTTTGAAATATTAATAAGCTAAAATCTCATAGCACGGATAGCATTTTGATGTAGTTTTAATAGTTATTATAGTTGATAATGGCACAGTTTATTAGCAGTACTTTAGTAGCTAGGATATTGGTAACAGTATTTTGATAATGTTTTTTTGAATTCAATTTCTTGTGCGTATTATTTCTTCTGAGCAGTTTTGTATGTACGTAGATATCGTGCTGCTGGCCTGAGTAATTAGTATGATTACTAATGAGCTGTATCAAATGACCAGATGATGAGCTAGGCGCCGCTTCGATCCCCAAATTCAACATTTTCCTTCAATCAGTCAACGAACGTCTTAGCGAATTCCTTAGCTCGGTTACTTCCAGGAATGCATGGAAACTAGTCTCGACTAGCACCGGTATTATTCATAAAGAGAAGGAAGTTCTTAAACAGCTGAGGGAATACGCTAAATATTCGAAAACCTATGTGGAGGATAAATGTGAGCAAACGAATCTAATTTGCTAGGTTTTCTCATAAGTTTTGGCACTGAAGCAATAAACACCAAATTTATTAACCAGAAGTAATTAAAATTGCTCAACAACGCTATCCAAAATATGCGCCATCAGCCTGAACATATTTTTGCCAGAACTCAGGCAACGACGCGCTCATAATGCTCGTCATCCTTGGATTCAAAGAAAATTATTAGACCTTAACGCAAGTGATTGGTGTCTTAGAACATCTTCTTGCTAGAGAAATGCTCTAGCGACCGAGGTAGGTGATAGTTAAACGGCGCCAACTAAGAACTGGACAATGGAAATTGAATCGTAATACATATGTTATGATTGTCGGAATTGTGACTGTTTTACAACCGCTAGAATGCTATGATGAGAGCAAGATACGCATTATGAAGTGGCTTCGAACTCATGATTTTTGTTTCCAGAGCTGAACCATCGGTGAAAGAAAATCGGAACAATGACTTCGATGGTGCACTATATAGCATGTAAGCTCAATGATTTGGTAATCAATGGTCCAAAGTCACCAGAAGTTCCGAGGTTAGTTTTCGTATCTCAGCATTCGTGTGATAGTATGCCACTTCGTACCGTGGCGTGGAAAGAGACTAGACACTAGATAAAGATTGAGCATTGCAGATCAAAATGATTGATTCAATTGCTGCTGGCTTTGTGAAAATCATTCTCGACCTTGAGACTCAAGAAAAAAGCCTGAATGTAATCCTAAACGCAAGCTTTTGTAGTTTATATGTGTATCATCAAGCATTGCCTTCTTCTGAACACAATGCGAGCAAAAGAGGAAATCTTTTACGTGAAGGATAACATCAGATGTTGAAATCAAAATGCTTGACTTTATTGACAATCTAATTTTTAATCATTCAAAATTCATTCATTCGACCGCCTCTTGCGGTGGAATGGTCTTGTAATATACCAATAATGTGGAGTGTTGTGCAAAAAGTTTGCGTCAGACGGGATTTAAACCCCGTTTCACTCTTTCCGAGAGCGTATGCTAAGCGTTTGCACCAATCCATTGCAACAAGAGGTTGCGGTAAATGGAACCACCATATCTTACTGTTAAGATAAAAATTAGGCATCATATAAAGTCATAAGGCATAAGAATTATGATTTCTATCGCAAGTTCATCCTTACTAGGGTTTTCGCCGCTTTGTGCCCTTTAGATCTATCCCACTGACAAATGATTGTTAACAGCCACTGAAACGGGGGATGTTGCTGCTAAAAGTCTAGACATCATTCGTCTATATTTTCACTTTGTTACAAGTTAGACCGAGTCTGTGACAAGC